AGATGATCACCGTGGTTCCTTCTGGCCTTAGAATCTATGAAGTTATGAATTATTCATTATTGATTTGTGTGGCAGGAGCATCTGGGAGCCCTGGGACCAGGACCCCATTGTGACAGGTGCTGTACAAACACAAAGCAAAAAGACAGTCTCTACCCCCAAAGAATTTACAATCTAAGTATATGATTCTATTAAAATAAGAACACTATAAGGTGATGTTTCAATGTCTCTTCACATTAAAATAAATAAAAATAAATTCTCAGACTTGCTAGTGAGCATGTGTGTGTATGAGAAGGAAAGTTACATTTTGCAACATACAATCATAGAATCGTAGGACTGGAAGGGATCTCAAGAGGTCATCTAGTCCAGACCCCTGCACTCATGCAGGATTAAGTATTATCTAGACCATTCCTGACAGGTGTTGGTCTAACTTGCTCTTAAAAATCTCCAATGATGGAGATTCCACAACTTCCCTAGGCAATTTATTCCAGTGCTTAACCCCCCTGACAGTTAGGAAGTTTTTCCTAATGTCCAACCTAAACTGCCCTTGCTGCAATTTAAGCCCATTGCGTCTTGTCCTATCCTTAGAGGTTAAAAAGAACAATTTTTCTCCCTCCTCCTTGTAACAACCTTTGAAACCTTGTAACAAACGAGCCGTTGAGGGAGACTAATCCCCAGCCCCTCCCCCTCTGCCCAAGGCCCCGCCCCACCTCTTCCACCACCACCGAAGCCCAGAGCACACACCACCGCGTGTCCCCAGTCCCGGAGCACTGGGTGGGAAGCACAGCTGGAGCACCCCCAGCCCCAACATGGCAGGCGGGCAGCATGACCAGAGCGCCCTCAGCCCCAGCGTGCTGGGTGGGCAGCGTGGCCGGAGTGCTCCTAACCCCAGTGCTGGGTGGGCAACATAGCCGGAGCACCCCTAACCCCAGCGCCGGACAGACGGGCGGTGCGACGTTGCCCCAGCCCTAGCCCCCCAGCCCCGGGCCCTGTGAGAACTGGCCCCAGCCTCTTGGCCCCGGAAGAGTGCCGGGAAGGGAACTGGAAGCAGGCAGGAGGGGACCTGGGGGCAGAGCATGGGCAGGGCCACGCCAGGCTGTTTGGGGAGGCACAGACTTCCCCGGCCTATGCTACCCACCGCCCATGGTAATAACCTTGTAACAACATCAGACTGCAGTATCCAAGGCAGGCTCATTTTTGGACATCTGTCCTTAATTTAATTTTTGATATCAGTGTATCCAGATTATCATTGGACACGTTAGTGATATATGTCTGGACTTCCTAGAGAGAGGGGACAGTTCAGTGGAAACCTCTAAGCTTATTTCTAGTCTCCTGGCAGCAGCAAAATACTACTTCGCTAAATGTTAGATAAAGGACCTTCCAGGAGCAACAAATAAATGTAGCAAATGTAGCCTTATTGTTATGTTTATTTTTCACATATTGCTTATTTTTGTGTTCTTGAACCAATAAAAATGTGGGTTTTTTTTAAAATGTTCAAATCCCAGTTGTTTATGCAAACAACATTTGCAAATGCAATTTGGGGGCAGGGAGTTTGATGGGGGTAGGGTGCCCAGATAGCAAGTGTGAAAAATTGGGACACTTTTTTTTCAAGAGGCCGTATAGTTGCATGTATAAGCCAAAGCCCCTAATATTGGGACAATGCTGATATTATCGGGACATCTGACCATCCTATATGGGGCAGTACTTTGAACTGAAATAAAGCTTTGGGTGCTTCCGAACTGTCTTGCCATCACAGAGCCATGTCATTTGGGGTGGCCTTAGAAGTATTGTGTCTTTACATTTGCTCAAATCTGTTACTCATTCAAATTCAGAGGAATTTTTCACAGTGCGGGACGAAGGCTGTGTCTGGAACTCAGATAATATATACTTAAAAATATGCATATTATTATTTGTTATTTGTATTTTGGTAGCACCTAGTAGCCTGTCACAGATCTGGACCCGCATTGTGCTAGGGGTTGTACAGACACAGAACTAAAAGTCCCTGCCCCAAGAAGTTGACAGGCTAAGTACTAGTGAGCGCTGGTATCATTCAGTCTGGTTTCGATCAGCAGTGAGGTGTGTAAAACTTTGACTCATAACGTTTACTTCTGTGCTGCCTTCAGAGCTTGGTGGCTGGAGAGCGGCGGCTGTTGGCCAGGTATCCAGCTCTGAAGGCGGTGCCCCACCAGCAGCAGCGCAGAAGTAAGGGTGGCAATACCATACCATGCCACCCTTTACTTCTGTGCTGCTGCCTTCAGAGCTGGGTGGCTGGAGAGCAGCGGTCGCTGACTGAGGACCCAGCTTTGCAGTCAGCAGCGCAGAAGTAAGGGTGGCAATCCCAGGGCCGTCTCCAGGTACCAGTGCAGCAAGCAGGTGCTTGGGGCGGCCAACGGAGAGGGGCAGCATGTCCGGCTCTTCGGTGGCAATTCGGCTGCGGGTCCCTCAGTCCCTCTCGGAGGATAGGACCTGCCGCCGAATTGCCGCCGAAGAATGAAGCGGCGGCGGTAGAGCTGCCGCTGATCGCAGCTTTTTTCTTTTTCTTTTTTTTTGCCACTTGGGGCGGCAAAAACGCTGGAGCCGGCCCTGGGCAATACCATATGATGCCATCCTTACTTCTGCGCTGGTGCTCGCGGTGGCTCTGCCTTCAGAGCTAGGCTCCCACTGTTCTCCCGCTGCCCGTCTATGAGGACAGCAGCAGTGCAGAAGTAAGGGTAGCAGTACTGCAACCCGCCCCACCACCCGCCCAATAACCTTGTGACCGCCCTCCCCACACAACTCCTTTTTGGGTCAGGACCCCTACAATTACAACTCTGCCACATTTCAGCTGTAAATAGCTGAAATCATGACATTTACCATTTTAAAACCCCTATGACCCAGAAATTGACCCAAATGGACTGTGAATCTGGTAGGGCCCCTACAACTGAGGTGGGGGAGGACAGACCAGCCCTAAAATCAGTAAGTGGGAGGGCGGGATCTGCAGTGGACAGGCCGTTGCTGTGGCCAATCAGGGCCGGACTGGGGGCCAGCCATTCGGGAAGCAGGGCTTGGCGAAGCGGACCAATCGCTCTCCCCTGGCTCAGCCGCCCTGGAGTACGGAGCGGTGCTCCGGCTGGGACCCGGCAGGGCTACGCAGGGCAGCGGCGGCAGCTGCAGCATTTCACAAAGGCAGCTGCGGCGCGCGCCGGGGGGCGCAGGGAACCCGGCAGGGGGAGCCGCGGAGCGAAGGGCGCCGCC